GGCAACAGCCAAAATTCCCGTTGCCAATGGTGACTGTCTCAGTTTAACAAACCTGTTATCTTTTAGGTAATAATAGCACAACCGCGCCTCTGATAAGAAACCGGGCCGCTTGCTTGAAACTTGAGTCTCTTGTCGGTGATTTCCTCTGCAAATCCTCCTAATTAATGTACTTGTCAATTGCAGTCCCAGCCCCCCAGAAGCCGGGTCATAGCGGGGCACTAGCCGGGACTGAGCCGGGGAGGTACATAACTGTGTCCCTGCAGTACCGGTACGTACCTAAAATTGACCTCGAAAGGACCAAGGTTTCGGTGTACAGTAGTGCTGTCAAATGGTCTATTCCTACCTATCCTACCATAGGCTTTCAGCAATTGCTGTGTGTTTTGGTAATTTAAAAATCGCAACCGGTACTATAGGCGGTATAAATTACTGTACATAATGAAATGTCAAGCTCCCACCACAAAACGATGAGGACCGATGTGACGTGAGTGTTTTGCGTAAAAATTTTCTTTTTTAATGGCCAAGCAATACATTCCCCTCTTCACACTTTTCCAAACTTCCATGGGAATCTGCCTAGTGATACGCATGCGTAGTGCTTCCATGCTTATCTCCTCCTTGGTTAGCTCCTGCCTAGCGCTCACGTGTTCTCCGATTCAGACATAGACGAGACTAGACCTTCATTTAGCGGGGCATTTTAACGGTAGGACTTTGCCGGGGATGTACGTTAAAACAATTCCCCGCATTGCCGTGAGGAGAGGAGGGGGAAAGGGAGGAGGAGGGGAAAGGGAGAGGGGAAGGGAAAGCGAGACAACAATTGATAAGTGCATAAATAGTTCGACAACCGCGCCTTTCCGCCGTGATTATAATGAGTCGATTGTCGACAAATGATACCGTGATTTAAAATAGCCAATCGTTCGTGATACCCAGAATTAACGTAGACGTATCTACACTGTATGGCAAGTATTTATTTTAGCACGTGGTCTGTTTCGCACTGCTCTAGTCTATAAATACCAGACAAATTCAAAAACCCTGTGCACACAGCCATCATATAATAGTTCGGTTGGACAAAATAAGATGTCTGTAATTGAAGACTATTAACTACAGCCATAGACCGAATTCTTCAAAGACGACCTAGCGTATTTCTTGTGTGGTGAATGCTATCAGAGGACACAGAAAGGCTGGTTAAATTAGGTTCATAGTAAATAAAACATCATTCCCTTCGAAGAGATGCATTAAATTTAGGATTTATTGTACTAACAGACAGAGAAGACCATTTATTCACAACCCAATTCACAGTGCTGATTTTAATAGATACACTAACTCTTGTCAATAATTTTATATTATGTATTATTTATGTCCGTCGATTATTTTGTCTATACTAGTGATTTTTTACTCATTTTGTATCAGGAGACGAATTTTACTTTTTCGTTACAGCGTGACAATAAAAGAATCTCGTACTGTTGCTTTACTTTTCTTTTGTTTTCTACATCATTATGCACCGATCTGCTTTACATGCGCCCAATTAAAATCAATAACAACAATAGTGCAACAAGTCGTGCACCGAATCTGACATCAGTCACACCCTACTGTAGCCCGTTGTTCTGGTGACGCCCAACACTTTAATACTTCTTGTATACCATATACAGTACAGTAATGGAAAAAAACTAGTGAAGCACAGTGGTGGATCAGTATTGCGTATCTCGCAATTCTCATTATAGTTCAATCGAAAATTATATTTTATTACACATAATCATGAATACAGTCATAATACACCACATTGTTTCGATTATTTTATATGACTATTATTATTCACCAGAGACAGCTGTATTGGTATGCGCCTTATAAATCCATTGATTGATATTCTTAAAAATCTTTAATTAACACCAACGAAAATTTAGGAACATAACAAAATAGAGTAGGCCTAAGAGTGCTGTCAATAACTTTAAATAGGCCTAATTGAGATATCATAAGCATTGGGACTTCAACATTAACATAACATTGCCGTAAATGATCAAGACATGAGTTTTTTCATGGAAGAATAATAATCTGAATTCATATAACATGTACTGTATTAATACCGATATATTGTTATAATTAAATACACACAATATAACAAATAATACCCGACATATATTTTCAACTGCTGAAATGACCAAACATTACAATTATTATAAGACTTGTTACTTTTTTCACAAATTTGCATCAACTCAAGAACTTCGATGAATCCAATCGATGTTCGCCCATCGGACGGCCTGTCTAAACATGTTGTTTGGTAAACTATGAACTCGCCGTAGCACATGTTTTCATCATGACACCACGGCGGCAGCATGGATTCTTACTGCACCGACTGTCTCTGCATAAAAATACCTAATATTTTACACTAGGGCCTAGTACCTGGAGTATAATTTATCATAACATAATATACTGCAGTACCACTGTACTTTATTATAAATTGAGAATGTGAGAAAATGTGAGTACTTCTGTAATATTAAATAAATCGTCAACTGCCGAGCCAGAAATCGACTGCATCTGTATGCAGTCTAGGCTACTATCATTTTGATTGTATTGATCGTCAGTCAGCGGAGGAAAATGACATTTTCAAATGATGTATGACTCAAAAACAAAAGTAACTGACGGAATTATAGGTTTCCCTGTTACAACAACGACACATACGTACGCATCCATATTGTGTACTACAGGGCTTGAATAGGGATTGTTAATTTGACGTGATCGACATTGATAAACAATTTCGGGTAGACGCGAGTGCGTCTAAATAACAATGTTTAGACGGTGTAGGCCTTGAACGGACGCGTCATGGACGCAAACAGGACGAAAACTGGATGCGTCTGTTGCGTCTAAAAATTTGCATTTTTTATGGACGGTACTGTAGGTGGCTTGATTCATTGTCCAACTGTAACTGCCAGAATGCGTTGCTCATGTCCAATTTTGAAAAAATTTTGACATTGTTTAAATCTGGTAGAATATCGTCCAATATGGGTAACTGGTAGTGTGGGCGTTTTAATGCCTTATTTAAAGGTCTTGGGTCTAAGCAAATCCTTAGCTTTTTATTCTTCTTCTCCGTTACTACCATCTGACTAACCCACTTGGATGGCTCTTTTACTGGGGCAATGACGCTTTTGTTTACCAGCCTATCGAGCTCTTGCTTGACTCTCTCTT